GTGAGTGTTACTACAGTGTAGTTGTAAAATAGTATGAATGTTACTAGTGTAGTTGTAAAATAGTGTGTTACTACAGTGTAGTTGTAAAATAGTGTGAATGTTACTACAGTGTAGTTGTAAGATAGTGTGAATGTTACTACAGTGTAGTTGTAAAATAGTGTGAATGTTACTACAGTGTAGTTGTAAAATAGTGTGAATGTTACTACAGTGTAGTTGTAAAATAGTGTGAGTGTTACTACAGTGTAATTGTAAAATGATGTGAGTGTTACTACAGTGTAGTTGTAAAATAGTGTGAGTGTTACTACAGTGTAGTTATAAAATAGTGTGAATGTTACTACAGTGTAGTTGTAAAATAGTGTGTTACTACAGTGTAGTTGTAAAATAGTGTAAATGTTACTACAGTGTAGTTGTAAAATAGTGTAAATGTTACTACAGTGTAGTTGTAAAATAGTGTGAGTGTTACTACAGTGTAGTTGTAAAATAGTGTGAGTGTTACTACAGTGTAGTTGTAAAATAGTGTGAATGTTACTACAGTGTAGTTGTAAAATAGTGCAAGTGTTACTACAGTGTAGTTGTAAAATAGTGTGAATGTTACTACAGTGTAGTTGTAAAATAGTGTGAGTGTTACTACAGTGTAGTTGTAAAATGATGTGAGTGTTACTACAGTGTAGTTGTAAAATGATGTGTGTTACTACAGTGTAGTTGTAAAGTGGTACGAGTGTTACTACAGTGTAGTTGTAAAATAGTGTGAATGTTACTACAGTGTAGTTGTAAGATAGTGTGAGTGTTACTACAGTGTAGTTGTAAAATAGATGTGAGTGTTACTACAGTGTAGTTGTAAAATAGTGTGAATGTTACTACAGTGTAGTTGTAAAATGATGTGAGTGTTACTACAGTGTAGTTATAAAATGATGTGAGTGTTACTACAGTGTAGTTGTAAAATAGTGTGAGTGTTACTACAGTGTAGTTGTAAAATAGTGTGAGTGTTACTACAGTGTAGTTGTAAAATGATGTGAGTGTTACTACAGTGTAGTTGTAAAATGATGTGTGTTACTACAGTGTAGTTGTAAAGTGGTACGAGTGTTACTACAGTGTAGTTGTAAAATGATGTGAGTGTTACTACAGTGTAGTTGTAAAGTGGTATGAGTGTTACTACAGTGTAGTTGTAAAATGATGTGAGTGTTACTACAGTGTAGTTGTAAAGTAGTATGAGTGTTACTACAGTGTAGTTTTTTTCTACACATGACTAACATGCACACCTACAGCATCTAATACCACAAGCCTGAGTGGTATAGTACAGTCATACCTTTCATGCCATGTAATTAATTTATCCACCCGCTTCCAATGCATGGAATTCATACATTATGAACAGTTCAAACTAGTAAACTGAATATCCAGCTTGTTTGAGAGAGGTACCCGCTATTTATATTCCTCATGCTTACTGAAGCAGGCATTCACTGGTTTGTTTTTCTACTTTAAGAGTGCAGTAACTTCACAACCTTATCACATTATACTTATATAATAACAAAACAACTTAATATAAGTTTAAATAGCTCAAGTATAAGGTCTGTTTTTGTTCTTTCCAGTTAACATTTTCTTTTGAAATTAAATAGCTCGTTACTGTATTGTAAGCCATGCAACGTAACACGAAAGCCTACTGACTTAACTATACGTAGAACATAAATATACATTTGGATTTATTTTTTAGCTTCAGCATTTATCACAAACAATTTCAAAAGTTCTTTACCATTTTATACTGGACATTACTAACACAATGTTTTTTTCATTTCAATCCAATTAGATTTATCTCTGTTACTAGAATGTGCAAATACAAATTTCTGTACGTAATAAGACATAAGCTTCAAAGTACAAGTTATTTTAATTATCTACAGATGGGCAAGGAAAATTTTTTCACTCTGTTTAATATTAATTCTCTTCACTTGTTTAATTTCTCGTTTCAATAAAATCCTAATGGAATACGATGCGCATGAAAGAATCATATCTACATAAAAACAGTTCTCAGTTTTATGAATGAAAAATAAAACAGAAAAGGGGACTTAATTTTATCACTGATATTTAAGTTCACAGAATTCTACTTGATAATTGCTCAAGCATTTCAGTTTCCAACAGGAATCACTAGAATGAAAATATCAAGCCAAAAGATGAAATAAATGTTAACTATCATGCGTGATTCACTGAAGATTTTAAAGGAATCTAACAGAAGAGAAAGAATTCATTTTGAAATTAGTAAACACAATTTAACATATATTTGAATATATTTCGTAAAATGTGCTTAGGTGGCAAAATGTCAATTTTTTTTAAAACACACATTTTAATATACTTTTGAAAATACATTTAAGTACATATTTTGTAAAGAGGATCGATATAATCCTCAATATTTTTTAAACAGTCTTAACCACACCTACAGAAGTTTTCCACCAGTATCCAGATTTATTGGAACTACTTTACCACTGTATCCTCCATGTAATGAAATATACAACTTACCTTGTGTCCAAATACTCTTTACCAAAAACAAACATATATTTGCAATGTTTAAAAACCTAAACACAAAAGCACACTACAAATAAACATGTCAGGTGACTTAAAAAGAAACCTCGGATCTGAATCATGTTTACATTGTCACACATCATCATCATTCCTATGTGAACGTTAAATTTGACAGAAATCACACCAGAAGGTTTTCAGGTATATGAGGCCTCGTATGGAATACTGTGTATGGTTTCGGTTTCCTTACTTACAGTACTTATATGATCCTTAGTATTGCAGAATCAAGCTACAAGAATAATACCTGGTTTAAGATATTCAAGCTATGAGGACAAGCTTACAAGTTTGAACTTGTTTTTTTCTGAAATGTAGAGGGATTAAAGGTGACTTGATTCAGGTGTTGAAAATTGTTAAGGATTTGGGCAATCAATCTCCCTACAGGAGGTCTGTTTGAGTGAAAGATTGAAAAGGTTGGAAGTACTATCGTGACTAGTGAGAATAAAAAAAAGTTACTTTTTACTCAAGAATTATAGACTTTTGAAATAGTTTGCTTCATGATGTGGTGTGTTCTATTATTTTACTTTTCTTAAATAAGCTATATGTACAAGCAGGGTTGTTTAATTTGAGTCAAATGTTTAGGTTGGTAGTTATGCGAGTAAGGAGTGACCTCAATGAACTAAATAGCCTTCTGTCACCTTGTTCCCCTCATATTTTTAGGTTTATAAAATGTATATATTTTTATGCAGCAAAGTTGCCTATATATATATACACACATACATATATATATGTATTTCTTATATAAAACCAGATTTTACTTTAAACGAAAGGGAATTTATATATTTTCTTAATTATTTCTAGGAAATTTACACACAACTCGTAAAAACACACAGAGAGCTGGTATATCACTACAGGTTATTTATGTACCACCTGGGCAATATGTATCTCAGAGAAGAATTTGACTGTCAGCTTTTAACAAAAAAATCAAATAAAATAGCACATGCATAAAAAACTGAACAAGTGAATCTTCAAACCCCTACATCAAGGTTCAGAAGGATTAATCCTTTAAAAATTGAAGAGGAGAAAATAACTTTATCCCCTGAACATCATGAAATCATCCAAACTCCTGCCATGATCCAGTACTTTTATTTCTTTAAAAGAAACATTATTTCTAAAAAATATGATTATTTTGGGCTGTTTCACCACTTTTTAATAAGTAGTTGGTCCAATTATCAATTTATTTTAAAGAAAAATCTAGATAATTTTTAATAAGATTTGGAGCAAACCAGAACACACAATTAAGAGTCAACAGTAACAGTTGATTGAGACAAACTTTTGCAAGATTCAAATACAAATGAAAAGCAGACTGAATTTAAGCCCAGTGTGATGAAGAATCGAAGTCTGCTCTCCTTCAATTCTTAACCTGTCCAGAAAATACTGAAAACATCCAAGCTATCAGCACAAGCAATGTTGTCAAGTACTCTCATAAAAAAAGCAAAAACTTCCACCTCCTACACACATGGAAATACTTAAGTTCAGGTTCATCACACAAAAAGAACATTTGTTATGTGTGACAGAGATCAATGTTGTTTTTAATATCACAGACTTTTTCATATGTCTTGCAGGACTATAAACTAAGAATGGAATATTCTTACTCAAAAGGAACACTTTAAAACAGCTGTTTTTTTTGCCTTCAAATTGACAAAATAATTACAGCTATGTTTGTTTACAAAATAATAAACAATGTTTATACATTTAATTTTAGATTAATAATGACAAATAACATACTTAAGGAAACCAGGCTAATCGGTATAAAGATTTCCAAAGTTTTTAATTGTAGATTTATATGTTTACCATATCTGTTTGACTTTGAGTTTTATTTTAAAGTGTAGCATCCAGTTTAATATTTTGCTGTTTTATATCATTATCACTCAAGACACAAGCTAACCTCTGACACTGAAAGTATATTACTCACCCGGTTACTCTCTAGAGCTTCTGCTGTGTGAGCTTCCTTCGTTTTGAAACAATGTTGACATTTTGATTTGTTAAAAATGTTCGGTGCAAACTTCTTGCAATCTGCTTTCAGCGTCATCATAGCTTCGGGAGTTGATATCAACGTGATTCTAATATACAATTACTATCCTTATAATTATAGAAGTAGCAGAAAGTGATAAAACTTAAAGTTTTAAGTCTTTTACGCACTCTCCAATTGACAAAACTCGGAACTCACATAAATAATATCCAACAAAGCCTAGGCCTAATTCTATATAAAACCTGACGGAGGCTTGTGCTCCTTCAGCTTAGCCATAACAAGGCCGACTTCCACCCACAGTTTACTGCGGTTCGGTCCTCCAAGCTTACCGGTCTGTATTCGTTGGCAAAATTAACCCTCGACAACAAATACTAACAGAAAACTGAAAAGACCAAAGTTAGCATATAAAGATTGCTTACTACATAATATACGAACAAATATGATTTACCCCCACAAAAGAAAAAAGATTTAACGTAAAATTCAACTCGTGTTTGGGCAATCCATTTCTAAATACTACGTACACTTCACTCACATGCTCTTACCAATTAGCCCGAGACGGATTGAATTTATCTAAACCTAACTGCAGCTTGTTGTAACACTGCAGGTAAACTGTCTTTCGTAGCAACTCTAGCACAACGTAACGCTTCATCTCATGGAGCTTTCGACATCACGTCGCCAACAGATAATCATTTAGCCAGTAACGATATAAAAGATTGTATAGCGCCATTTTGTGTCTAACAAAGTGCAACGCACTAGCATTAGGCATTGTAGTTTTTAGTAAATTCTTAAACTTAATGATGAATAGTTAAGTCCTTCTATTTATCTTGATGAGTTAAACAATTAATATGTGATAAAGATGACGTTTTTTTTTTGCTAATATCGCATTTTATATGTGAAAAACGGTGCGAAAGCCTGCTTTATATGCATCGAGAGTATACTCAGGTTGTAAATATTACTTTATCATTTCACTTTGACAATGTTACTTGCATATAAAAACTATTTGTATTTAAAATACAACATATCAAAATAAAGTTTCAAAATCAATTTAGTTTCGTAGCTACAAAATAAAAGTCAGCAAACGAAGAACGTGAGCTAATGACGATTAAATAACTTAAGTGTATTAACGACATGATCGCAATAGTTATTGATTTAGTTGTTGTTGGTTTTAGTGCATGTTGGAAGTTAACTTGTTAGTGGGAAAACAGAAAGGTGTTTAGTTGAATTTTATATTAGCTTTATAAATTAGTATCTGTAACAATCTAGCTTAATTACAACAGCCAAATATACTTAGAATGGCTGATGCAGTGATCATGATTTAAATCATGTATATACATATTAAATGCTTTATAATTTAAATATTAAATAATACACATTAGATGTTTTATAATTTTCAGAAATAAATCTCATTGATATTAAACGCCGATCACGCTTTAATATGACTAAAATGAATTTAAAATTCAAAAACACGAAAGCTGATACAACAAATATCTATATGTTTACGTTAAAACATTTTATGATTATCTCCTAAGTTTTTGTACAGAGACGAATGAATGAATATCTTCCAATTTTTAACTGAATTTTCTTTTTATTTACTTAGGAATTGGCATCACCTAATGATTGGTGCGTCAAAATGTGAATCCGAGAATTCATGGTCCATATCCCGTTACCGGAAGAAAAAAACACTTGTTGTGAAGCAATGAGCAGAGTGTACTACTTAGAACAAAATACACAAAAAAGTAAACATTACACATGTAAACCAACTTTGAAAAAATAAAAAGGGCATTTAAATTTAACCATTATTTATCTTATTTCGTATTATTTCTGTTTCGTATTTAGCTGAACTGTTATCTTATAACATCACAGAAATACACCAATGTTTAGGTAAAACTTAACATCATTTTTCAAGGTTTTTTTTGTTGTTGTTGTCACGTTTCAAAACTAGCATATTATTAGTATATTTTGATGACCTGTGGGTCTTCCATCATGTTTAGATAATTAATCAGAGCAGATGATAAACCTACAAATTTTATCTAGAACAGATTTGATAGATAATAAACGTTTGCAGACGGCTTGAATGGGTAATGAAAAAAACTTCATTATAAATTACAACATCATTAAATTTAGACTTGATAGATGAATGTATTAGTATAGTTATGATAAGTAATTTTTGCTGGGATAACGTTGTTTCTGTTTCTTTCTTCCTTTTTTAAGTTCTTCCTCTTGTAGATAGTATTTCTTCTTCTCCTAATTTTATTTTCCCTCTCGTTTGTGGATATTTTTAGCTGGTTGTGTTTTCATGACTCATAATGTGACTGTCCAAATTTCCAAGAAGAATAAACTTTCAGGGATTTACGAGTAACCATAATTACCGCAAGTTTTTATTTATCTTATTTCATAATGTTTCTTAACCCTATTCTTAATTTAAGTCCATGTAGGAATTATTGATCCTATATTCTGTTCAAGCCAGCCAGGATCATTTGGTAAAATTTAGAAACTTTTGAATTTTGAAAAATTACGAACAGTTCTGCCAAGAAAAGTATGTAGAAACAGCCCCTCTATCCGCGGCGAACATGGTGACCTTTCAACAGTTCACGGGAAAAAAAAAGATTCAGATAACCAAACAGCTAATTATTTCCATATTTGGTAAATTAACGACAAAATGAGCATATTTTGTACTTGGAATTCTATAAATTACATTAAAAAATACAATTCTCTGTCTGTTTGTTTCGGGTATTCGCACAAAGCTGCACAAACATCCCTAATTTTAAATTTATAGACTAGAGGAAAGGCAAGTCAGTCAACACAGTAAATAAAAACGATATTATTTGAAAAGTGGAATATTTACAGTTTCAGCTATGGATTGGGTTGTACAATCAGTTAAGCTAGAACCGTAATAAAACACAAACCTTTGATGTATTTTTGATAATCTAAGAAAGAGCCCAATAAAGTGATCACGATGTTGTATGTCGTGAAGAAATGATAGCGTGTATAGAGTTATTTGTTTGTTTCAAAATTTTTCGAAAAGTGAAACACGGAATATATACGCATAGCTGTCCATAATTTTGAATAGATAGACTGGAGAGAGAGAGAGAAGACAGTTAGTGAACACCACCCATCGCCAACTCTCAGGCTACTCTTGCGTGATCATTTGTTTGTTTGGTTTAATTTCGCGGAAAGCTACACGAGGGCTATTTGCGCTAACCGTTCCAAGTTTATCAGTGAAAGACTAGAGGGAAGACAGTCAACACCACACACCGCCAACTCTTAGGCTACTCTTGTGTGATCGAATAGTAGGATTTGACCATATTATTCTAATCTTTAACGTCTGGAATGCAACTTACAAAGTAAAAATACTCTTTTTTAGGGCAAAGCTGAACAATAATAGGCTATCTGCGCTCTGTCAACCTTGGGTAACAATAATAGGCTATCTGCGCTCTGTCAACCTTGGGTAATCAATAATAGGCTATCTGCGCTCTGTCAACCTTGGGTAATCAAGCTCCTGGTTTTAGCATTGTAACTGTAAACTTACTAATGATGACTAAATAAAATGCAACAGTTAATAATATCATAAAGTAATAGTAAAGTAAAATCTTATTCTTCTACACCAAGTTCGATATATTAATATGGAGTAGCTTTTAGGCTTAGCAAGACAGTCCGTGATTAGAAATTCCCTCCAGATTTTTCTCCTTCTATAAAATAGGCGGTCAATTCTCATAGAATTGATCACACAAAAGTAGTCCAAGAGTTGACGGTGGGTGTTGTTGACTAGCAGCTTCCTTTCTAGTTAGTTAATCCATTTAGTTTAGACGGCTATTTGCGGACAGCCCTTGTGTAGCTTAATACAAAAAGTTGAAACGAAGAAAGACAATAAAATAAGCTACAAGTTACTAAATTTACAAATAACACGAACGACAGAGATACAACTTCACAATATAGAGGTTATAGGTAATATTTTGCTACTAAAACGAGTTTTACAACCAGTTCTTTCGCCCTGTAGACATAAAAGCAGTATCTATACATACATACGATCTTTTCACTTCAATAGAGATTGTGTTGCAACCTATAAGCACGTGCTACCGCTAAGAAGTTCACTTGTCGTATTTTTTATGCAAATAGAGATACATGGGCGTAGCTTGAAATAATCATATAAAGTTTAGCTTGTTTGTTTTAGAACAAAGCCACATTATGCTATCTGCTGAGTCCACCGCGGGGAATCGAACCCCAGACTTTTGGCGTTGCAAATCCGCAAACTTACCGCTGTCCCAACGGGATGGACTTTTTTTTCTTAAAAGCAAAAATGTTCATAAAGATTAATAGTTTATTTGGTATAATGTTTTCATGAGGAAAATAAATTTATAAATAAATATTTATATTATTAGTTCTTAACAGTTTGAGAAGTATCAATTATTCGTCTTTCGTGCTTTGAGTGTTAAATACACATCTGCATGACCTTACCAAATTTATTAAAATATATTTTTTTTTCTGGGACTTCGCGAGGAATCGAACCCCGGATTTTAGCGTTGTAAGCTTACAGCTCCCAACCAGTGGTTCAGCGGTATATCTGCAGACTTACAACGCTAAAATCCGGGTTTCGATACTCGTGGTGGAAATGACGAGGACAGCTAAATTAGCTGCCCCTAATGGACAGATAGCCCATTGTGTAGCTTTGTGCTTAATTACAAACAAACCGTAAGCTTACCACTGACCCACCGGGGGTCATTTTCTGGGTGAGGAAAAATCTAAAGGTCGTAGGACAAGTTGTGGAAAAAATACCTTGTCTTTTTAATTAAAAACGTATTCACGAAGATTTGTCAAAAATGTATTAAAATCCACAGATCCAAAACAAAGCATATCAATTAAATTAGATTCACAATATAGAGAATTGTACTTACCGATTTGTGGCCATAACTATACAGGTGACCCATGTCACCAAACACAGCGTTATTTGTGTTTTTTTAATCACAAGTTTTTATTATTTTCATGAAGTACACAACAAAAGCTCTTAACATTCTAACTGGACATGTAATGATTAAATGGTCAAGCGAACATTAACCTTTGACTTCAGTCACGCAATGTTTAACGTTAAAATCAATTATCTAGATGAAGAGGTGTATTGAGATATTTTTTCCTAATGAGATTTTGTAGTCTGAGACTAGTAGTGAGTAAAATATGACAAATAAAGATATATAATATTTATTCGCTTTAGTTATTAGTATCGAGTTTTCTATAAATAACAGTATATGTGTTATAAATTTTCCTTTTATATTTGATATATTGATTTACGAAACATAAAAATACCTCTTAAAAGGTCTAAATTCCCAGCTCCTACGTCACCAATATCCTACCACTAGAAACACCTTTATTTCAACGATTGAAGAGTTACTCACCAAAAGTTGATTTTATGCAAAACTACTGATCAAAGTATGGACTTGTTCACGGCGATATCAAAGCAATTGAGTTTATTGTGCTGCCATCTCTTGCCTACAAATCAAGTTATGCTATATTATTTGATTTCTCTATGAGCCTGAAGAAATATAGGTTCTAATTAGTTTGTGGAAAACAAAATGGTTGTGAAAAAAGCGAGGTGTAGCTGAATAAAAATGTTCATTATAAATCCTCTTCTGTTCTATGGATTTTCAACAATCATATCCTTGTGCAGTAGTCCAGCAAGGTCTCGGGAATATTTAACAAGCTTGTTGAATATTATTTCTAAATGACCTCCCATAAAATGTTGCCTTAGAATGTACGAGAACCTTTTTAATGAAAACTGATATATATATATATATGAGAAGATAAGTTCACTTTACAGTCTCCACAAAATCGTATGGTAAGAATGGTATCAAAAGAAATTAAATTTGAGTAAGATAAATATTGCCTTAAAAATCTCTATTACCACAATCGAAATCCATCTTTATTGGAACTAAACTATTATCTTAAGTAGGATAGTGTTACGACAGCGGAAGTCACGTGACTCTAGTAACACGTCATGAGATTCTAGAAGCATCTTGTCTGTTCCTGGCAACTCTAGTCTTTTCTACACACCCTCAATTTTTGTATATATAAACCCGGCAAATAAAGCGGGGGAGAAGGGACGGCATAGATAAGGGCAGATAGGGAGATATAGAGACAGATAATCGAGTCGAGTAAGCGGTAGTGACCGCAAGTAAAGTGCGTGAATCGTTGTGAATTACAGCGTGTGTTTAAGTTAAAGTGACTGTGGAAATTCTGTGTATTGCAAAGTTGTATTGAGAAAAAATAAACTAGTTTTAATTAAGAAAGGACTTGTATCACTAAAGTTCTTCGGAAAGAATTTTTACGAGAAATTAACAAACGACCAGAGACGTAACAATATATTAGTCTGCTATATCAAACAACTTTGAAATAATAACAACTGAATTATTAATGTGGTGTATCAAAAACTTTAAAACGATAACAGTTGAAATATTAGTGTGCTATATCAAACAATTTCGAAATGATAACAATGGAAATTTAGTGTGTTATATCAAAGTTCGAAATAATAACAATACAATTATTAATATGCTCAGAGGTGTCGCTAGGCGCTGGCATACAGGGTCCGTTCCTCGATTCTATTTGACAGTGCCCCAAATCCCCAGTTAATGTCTCGAAAAATCAGAATAGAAAACCAAGATCGATATTATACCGAAACGCCGAAAATTCCCGCGGCTATGGGCTCGAACCCCGAATCTTTTAAGCACCTAGCGACGCCCCTGAATATGCTATATAAAAAACATCAAAATGATAACAGTTGAAACATTAGTGTGCTGTATCAAACAATTTTGAAGTGATAACAATTGAAACATTAGTGTGCTGTATCAAAAAATTTTGAAGTGATAACAATTGAAACATTAGTGTGCTGTATCAAACAATTTTGAAGTGATAACAATTGAAACATTAGTGTGCTGTACCAAACAATTTTGAAGTGATAAATATTGAAACATTAGTGTGCTGTATCAAAAAATTTTGAAGTGATAACAATTGAAATATTAGTGTGCTGTATCAAACATCTTCGGATAACAATTCAGATAAAACGTTTTGAAGGGTAGATTGAACAAAATGTTCGCTTCTACGTTTGAAAAGTAACCGTTGTTATTTTATGACACTTTTTAAGTTGTAGTCGCGTGCAACCGCTAGCTTTTATTAGGATTCTATAAATTCAATTATATTGTTTAATGTCAACCAAAGAAACTAAACAAAATAATAACAAATAGTACCTTAAAAAAGGTATAGTAGAACCACTAGCGACAACATTCTAGAAACTGTCAGGAAAAATAATAAAAAACACGAACAGCTCGATAAATGTCTCCTTAAAACAAACACAAATAAAAAAAAAACGAACTTGTAAAGAATAATGGAAATACGATATAAAATTATAGTTTAAATTGGTATTTAATATAAAATATTTTCATTTAAGCTGGAACACTGGAAATATAAGAAAATAATTAATTTTTTTGTTTGCTTGTTATTAAGCACAAAGCTACACAATGGGCTATCTATGCTTTGTCTATCGCGGGTTACGAAGCTCGTATGTCGGTGTTATAAGTCCTGAGACTTACTACTGAGCCACCGAGGGGTAAATAATAAAATCAGAAACAATAAAACATCGACAACAGTAGTGAAGTTGGAATGTTACTAGACGATATAAATACCGGATTTTTTTTTTATTCGTACTTATAATTATTGGAGTATGGATTAGTCTCTGATTTTTTTAAATCTATTGGGTATATGATATAATAAAAAAGGAATTAAAATAATATATAAACGTACATAACTTTTTTTAAATATCAGAACAAATACGCTTCGAAGACTTAGACTATTTTTAGGCTT